TTTTGAAGTTCATGCAACTTAAGTTAAGGTAAGGTTATAATTATAATGAAGTTTAAAGTTTTGTATTGATAGAAAATAATCTTAAAATATAGCAAATATAAAATTGTGCTATAAAAATCTAAAATTTAAGAAAGTTTTAATTGAACTTTTACTCACCCATCAAGCGTCAAATCTTTGTAAAGCGCTGGCTGATCGCAAATGGGGCACTGCCACCTTGGCTTGCATTCATTCATTTTGAGAAAAACAGATGCATCAAAGCATTGCAGATGTCGACACCCAGATGGTCGACATGGTTCAGTTATTCTACATTTGCTCAATGGACAAGTGACAGTAACACGCCAAGAAGAACATGTAATTTCAGAATCTTCAGCTTCAGCAGCTAGCTTTTCTTTAATAAGTCCTCTAGTGTAATCAGCTGGTTTAAAACCACGCGCTCGAAGACGCTTTAATAAAACGTTTGCAGTGAGTTTGCGAACCAGCGCAATTCTACACACAAAAGATTTTCCAAAATCTGACATCCACTCCACGGTTAACCTGTTGCTTTGAGTAGGAGTTAATTTTATCTGATTTGTTATGTCAACAGGATAAGCATGCTGGACCTTTTTCTCTGGTTGACCAGGTCGCGGTGCGGTATTTATCTATAAAAAATATAGATTAAAATCCTTTGCCAGCTTAAAAAAAACAAAATTATAATACAATCTCATAAAATATTTGCACCAAGTACAGTTTGAAACTGCCATTGCCATTTCTAATATAGCAACATTTTACTTTAAATTTTATATTTAATATCTTACAAAGCACTAAAAGAAATTGATAAAACAAATTTTATCAACTAATTGCTTCTAAAGAATTAAATATATACAAAAAAATAAATTACAATAAATTCATTCATACTATATTTAATTCATTGATATGTAAATACTTCAATTCAAAGCTAATGGTCATAATACTTACAGTTTGATTTATTCTATCATTAACTCTTATAGATAAGTAAGGTGGATAATAATCATTTTGTTCACATGTAGTTTCCATTAAGCAAAACCGAACATGTACCTGTTAAAAACAAATTTATTTAAAAATTATATTGTTTTTATTTATAAAATGTTATGTAATAAAATGTATAAATCTACATTTCAAATTATTGTATTATAATTAGAAAAAATAATGTAATACTGAATATCAAAGGACAGTCTTCATATGAGAAATTAAACTATATCAAGAAATTAGGAGAATATATTAAGCTTTTTATTATTCTTTGTAAATGCAGATCGCAATGTAATTTAAACCTAATAAATTCAAGAAAAAAACATTTTACCTGTATAGAATAAGTCATTTTGCTTCCAAAACCAGAACGACTTCTAGATATTTCTGTAATCTGTTGTGGAGTCAAATGAAATTCAAAATGAGACATTTGTATTCGCGATGATGTATGTGAAGTCAACAAACTAGTTGCTTTTAAAATTTCACCCATTTCTTCATAAAATGGTAGCTGGATAAATCGTACATCAGGATTCACTGGTACACTTGGCATTAACAATGGTTTTGAAAGCATATCCTTATTAAAGGTATTATTATCTTGCATGTAACTCCCTTGCACCAACGGAATGAACTTCCAAAAAAAAAAAAAAACAGTATTATAATTTCATGTATACTAAGATCTTTCACATTGTGCTAAATAGGTTACAAATTCTACAAAAACGGTAATGCAAAAGCTAGAAACTAATTCAATTCTAAATAACAGTTATGAACATTTTTTTAAGGTTATCGATCTCATTTTAAAGCAAGATATTAACTTAACTTGAAACTTAAAAAAAAATTCATCAAAGAACAAAAAATTTAACATTGTATAGTACCAAAATAAATATTTATTTTTATGTATTTTTTTAAAGCTGAAGGTATAAATCAATCTAACAATATAAAAAAGAAAACAAAATAAAAATATATATCAAACCGTTTTTTTTAAATATTGCCTGGGTTTTGTTTGGATTTTTATCTGATCAATATGCACAGATTTATCCTAATTCTGTATTTCTGAACATACGTTTTGGTACCAGAAAATTATTGATGTAGATATATAGTAAATATTTAGTAAAATTTTTACTAAACGGTAAACTTTTGAACAAATAATTTTGTATCAAATATATAAACCAAAATAGATAATTTTAAGAATCATATTGTGTTGCATTTAGTAATAAGACGCTTGGGTAATATTGAGTTCATAAATAATGTAAATATTGATGAATTATTGTGAACCAAGTAATATTAATTATTGTCACACAAACAAAATTATGTATAACAAATATAAAATTCAGTCACTTCTACATACCTCTGTGCCCCATTGGGTTAGAGCAGGTGAATATGGGTTCGGAACTTGATTTGGCTTAGTTCTGCAAGAAGAGTTGAATATAAAGACTTGAATTATGAATAATTTGGGTAATTATGAAATATGGTAATGCAACTTATTAAAAATTTATTAATAAACTTTAAAGAAATTAGGAAATAAAAAACACAAAAATCAACATTCTTTTCAAGTTTTTATCTAGCTTTTCGTTAAATTAACTATTTAACCATAATAACAAGAATAAGTATAATAATAAGAATATTCCAGAAGCACCCATATATGCATTTGTATTTTTACACAAAACGTAATTATAAGAAAGATAATTTCATAATTTCTTACTTGTATTGATTTCTGTGAATTTCATGTATTTTTACAATAATTGATGGTTGTGGATTTTGTATTAATGTCAATGCCCGTTTGAATAAATCAGATTTGTTTCCAGTTCTATTTCTCTGAGCATAACCCAATAAATTTTGCAATTCAGCAACCCGAAAACCTTTGATCATGATCTACAAATGTAATTAAATACAAATTAGTAAATTATAAAAGTTAAATGATAACAGATATTAAATTTTTTTTAGATAGTACAAAACAATAAAAAAAAAACAGTAGAAAACAATATTAATGAAAAATTTGTAAGACTCAACTAAAGAAACTGTTTTAAGTATGAGGCGACAAAAACGAATAATAGATTTGAGCAAACTTTGACATTTCAATATTTTTTAAACTCACTTAAAAACGTTTTTAATTTAGAATAACAAATAATTTCAGCACTATTATATACTCACTCGCAAAGTTTCAGGATCATCCATGTTTATCGTTTAACACCAGGCGTTCAGAATATTTTTTTAGGAAATCAGGTAGTTGCCTTTTTAGAGGAGTTTCACTTTCATCGGCTTGTCCATTTGCTGAAGTTTTGATTTGTTTGTGAATTAAAATATGAATTTAATTTGAGGTTATAGAAGTTTTGAAAGATAGAATCAGCTCTAGCGGATAATTCGAGAACTTAGATTAGAAAGTAACTGACAAAAATACCACCATAGATAAATAAACATACCTCAGGCATACCACCATAGATAAATAAGCATATCACGGCATAGATTACTTTCACCATAGATAAGAAAAGGACTTTCACCATAGATAAGAAAAGGACTTTCACCTTATATTGTCGACATCTGTGCTGGAAACATATTAGTATATCAACAGTTTAGACAGTGAGTTAAATTTTTAAATATAAATTGAATTTATATCACAAGTGCTTTTTACAAAAAAAAAAACAAAAATAGAAAATGAATGAATTCATAGATTCCACTTCATTGCAGGTAAGCATTTTTGTCTCTCAATTTCTAATATCCTTTAAAGTTACACATGCACAAATATATCGCAAACCGCTGACTACTATACTATTTGTATATTGTCTAGGCAATTATATTAGAACCCGGCCACCGGAGCCCCCAACGTGCGTAATAAGAATTAATAAACACATCCCAAGTTATATTTTTATTTCACATATGACATAAAGCATTTTTTTTCTCTCTGAGTAAAAGGGTGCGATCCAGAGAAATTTTAGAAATATGTACGTACTAAAAGTTATTATCAGCTATAAATGATTTAAAAGTTCAGCTTGCCAAAAAAAAAGACAAAAAGTTTATATTTGACTTTAGTTATTCATAAAAATTTTGGAGAAAGGGAAAGGATAAATATCCTCTTTTACTTTATGCATTTTATCAGTATGCGAGTCGCCTATCCGTCCTAAGGGTCCCGAAACAAAGTTTTATACAGTATCTCCCTTCTGGTAAAGATATATATACATAGTTGAGCACTATATAATATAATACAACCTAATATATATATAATATAATAAAATATATATATATATATATATATATATATATATATATATATGAATTTGTATACCAAAATTAATAATTTAAATAAATTATTAAAGAATGTGTAGTATATAAGTAACTGTTTTGAAATTACACTGAAGATGAGACACACCATGGTCTCGAAACGTCTGTAATCATAAAATAAAGTTGTGTTAAACAAATCTGAGTGCTGTTTTGTTCATATTAAACAATTAATATATATATATATATATATATATATATATATATAAATATTATAATAATGAATGAATTTATCATATTCTAACATATATTGTCCAGGGTTAATTGCATTATTTCCTATTAAAAATACATATATGATTTATAGTTCATGAAGAGCTTATTAAATAAATAATATAGTATATTAAAACAAGAATTTATTTCCATTTCAAAAAAAATTATAAATATATATTTTATAAAGGCTTTACCAATAAGGCGCAAAGTTTAATACCATGTACTATAGTACGCAAAGTTTATAAACTTTAAAAATTTCAACATTTAGTGTTATCTAATAATTAGCAGCCACATTTTGACACAAGCAATTTTAACTATTTTCCACACTATATATTTATAGTGATGTTTCAGAACAATAGCATAAAAATTGGAAAAAACTTAAAGAAAATATTATGACTAGGAAAATAGATAAAATATGTTATAGAAAATAATTCTAAATTCGAGATATCAAAATATCAAATAATTATATGTTTCACATTTCATATAAACAAGCTTTAAAACAAGATAATAAAAGATAAATCTTTACATGAAAATCTCTAAAGTACTTTAAATATTTACATTACGGGTGCAGAAGGGTTAAACGCAAATGTAGGATAACATGGAGCAAATGTTTGTTGCTGCATTCTAGTATATTGTGTATCATTCTTATCTTGAATAGATGTAGCTCCAAACTGCCCTTCAGCAAATGTTGGTGCCGCTAAAAAGGAAAGAATATGATTCTTCATATTATGCAAACTAATTGGTTGAACAGTTTTTTGCACGAGGCGATTTTTGTACATATGTTAAAACATTTAACATTTAGCACATAATTTACTAAATTATGTTAATAGAAAATAAACCATTAAAAACTCACGGATGTTAGGATAAAGCGCATGTAAATTATCCAAAGGAGCTCCCATAGGATCACCTGATGGCAAAGCCCAACCTCCTGCATTTGGATTGGAAGTGTCTGGTTCAGCTGGTGCAACATTTGATTGTGGCACTGGTACATCAGTATAGGGTGCATTAGGCTGGAAACTAGCAAGGGGTATGGTACCCAATATAATAGGAATTTTACTTTTAAGACCTCTGTGGATACCAGGTACCACGGTCTCAATCTGAAAAAAAAGATTATGTATTAGGAATAGATCATCAATAATAGAACTGAAGACAATTAATAATTGAAGTATATTATAAAGCTTAGTTGCTTTTATATATGCTTATAATTGTGAAATATTTGCCAATAAATCATATCAGAGGTGTGAAATGGTACAATATTATAATGAGAAATTCTTCATAATTACTTGAATATATATAATATAATATTTGAATTTGTCTTAAAAATATTTTATTTAAATAATCAAAGTCGTACCTAGAGTAAGTATAAATAAATCTTATTAGATTTATATTTCTAATAAGATTTAAGGATAAAAGCTTATTAGCTTATTCTATTTAGCTTATTATTATTAAAGCTTAGAGTGAAGTTTTTTAAAAGTACCTTTAAATCATAATCTAAATCAATAATCCCACAGTTTACTAAATTGCTGGGTGGTAATGGTGGAATTGTCATTTTCTGATTCCAGTTTGCAGATTTACCAGGTTCAATTGGTCCCACTTGCAATTCAGCAATTACTATACTGTCTTCTTTAGTAGCTCTTCTTGGCATTTGCGTGTGAAATTTTACATTCTGCAAAAATAGAATATTGTTATCTATTATTTCAACAGTTATAAAATGATGATATTTGCCCACTATCGATATTTCAAATTATAGCATGAGATATAATACATGATTTTTTGCATTTGGAAGCTGTACATTCTAATTTTAGATCAGATTAACTCACATAACATTTAAATACACAAAAAATATAAGAAAACATCGTTATGTGAGATCATTCCAATTAAAATTGATATCTTACCTTGCGTAATGTGAATTTTAAAGATGTTACAGCAACATTGCTATTATTGTCACATTCTGCACTGATTGGTATTTCTTGACCAGAGACATAACCAGTAACAGGTATACCAACAATTACACTAAGCGGACCTGATTTACACCAGCAGCAACAGAATGTTTTCTCAAGTTCCAACTTCACTGGTTCCTAAAACAATTTTAAAAGAAATAGCTGTGTTTTAACATCAAATAATTATTGATATCATCATTCTCAATTATCACTATATAAAAGTAAATGAAAAATACCTTCACTCTAGGATCAAGATTTAAATCTATTGCCGAAATAACAGTAAATGCCATTTTTGTATCCTGATCAAATTTCCATGGTCGATCTAAAGTGACTTTAACTGTGTATCGAACATAGCCCCATTCACCTTCAAAACTAGATGGCAATGAAGGAGGAAGCGCACAGGTGAATGGATAAGTATGCGTTCCAGCAGGTAATTCAATTTCACCCCCTTGATAAAGTGAAAAGATGTTTCATAGGATCATATTACAGCATTGAATTAATAATATGTGCTTATCTATAATCCAATAACAAAGTTGAAGAAATAATTATATAATTAAGGAATTAATGAGGTGCAAACTAATACATAAGATAACATAACAAAATCAAAACATGCACATCGATAACTATAAATAAGGAAATACATGAGCACGATACTAGACAACAGGAAATTTATCATCTAAAACAAATAAAACCAGGTAGAACACTATAAGGAGTGCTATAAAATTATTCAATGGGCTTCCAATAGAGATAAAGATGACCAAAGAAGAGATTCAATTTAAAATTAAGTTAAAAGAATATTATAAAAAACATGTAGATAAATAAATTAGATCAAAGCATGAATGTAAAAATGAATAAACGTATGATTGAATTATAACAGTAAATTTTATAATAGATAATTATAAAACTTCAAATATAAATCAATATGTGATTACTATTGAGCTGATTATAGAGCAAATTATCATTGATCATAATTAATGATCATTATCAACCAACAGCACATCACACTCAATTGTGTACTAAAATTAATATAAATATAACTTGATTCAAACCATTTTTGCCTCCTAGTAAATAATATTGTATCTGAAAATACTCTTCGTGACCCGAAAGGCTCGTGTCTTCAGTCTGTGATTGTCCCTGATTGTCAGTCTTTGTCTCTGATTCCATCCATGACGTGTGCGCTTCACCTTTAAAGACTATATGAATACCTAAAAAGAAATAACATTAATATTATGATTGTTTGATCTAACAAGATAAATTTCCCACCTCTAACTTTTTTTGGAGTATCAAAAGTTATCTCAACCCTTCCGTTGATAGTCTGACCGGCATAATATGTATTCCAAGGGTTATCGAGCAGGATTTGACATTCTTTCAAACCCATAATTGATTATTTATGAGGATACAAAACTAAAAACAGCTACGTGAGGTTCAAGATGTGCCTATAATTGGTAAGTACACACCCAGTTTCAAGGTTATAATGTTACATACGAAATGTTCTAATAGAAAACGAAAGAATCTAGGCCGAATCTAATTAAAAATAGATCCTTGTACTAAAACATTTTTTCTAGTACTTACAGTAAAATTAAAGTAAAAGGTTGACTAACACACCGACCGCAATGTCAAAATCTATTTATGACACCGATTATAATAACAAGAAGTTAGAAAAATTTTGATTTGCCAATAGATCGCAGCGTAGAGCAAATGATTTCAATCACAGTTATTATAATAATATTTATTTAAAATAACGAATTAATGTTTACCATAGAATTGTTAGTTTAATAAACATTAATTCGTTTATTTGCTTAAGTAAATAAATATAAATATGTAAAGATGAAATGTAGAAGAAATGTTGATTCATTTATTTTTGATAGTATATTTATTTTTGGTTGAAATTATTTCTGTATTAAATAAAACTACAATTGCATATCTAATCTGTATTAAACAATTTATAGCTGAGAATCTTGACACTAATGGACAAGATGTTATTTACACTGACTTCAGTAAGCTTTTGACAAAATTTTAATTTTCATATCATTCAATTTAATCATAACATCATTCTTCTTACTACTATAAATTATCTAAGATTAGTCTTATTTCTTCACTTATTTATTTTTTAAGAGTTATCTTTGCAATCGCAAACAGTTTGTCTATATTAATGGATTATTGAGCAATATTGAAAATGTCAGTTCAGGTGTTCCTCAGGGATCAATTCTTGGTCCACTACTAATTATTATTTTTATTAATGTTAAATAACTTATTTAGCTGTTCACATTTATCATTTGCAGATGATCTTAAATTATATCTCAAAATAAATTCTATTGATGACTGCTTATTATTGCAATCTCAACTTAATTCTTTCCACTCTTAAGGTGAGGGATTCTTAGTTTTTCACATAAGCGCGTTCCAATACATTTTGAATATAAAATTTCTAACACCTGCATTGATAGATGTAATCAAATATCGGACTTAAGAGTTTTATTTGATTCTGATGGTTTGTTTTCCACTGATCATATAGCTGATGATATTTGTAATAGAGCACATAAATCTTTATAGGAAATGATACTGAAAAATTGTAAAGATTTTAATTCAAATAATGCATCTTTGGTTTTGTGCGAAATACTGATGTACTTTAAATTCAAACTATGTATATACAAATATACAAATATATACATTAAATCAATAAAATATATTATGATACTTTCTATAGAAATTAAAACAGATCTTTATATACTTATTGTTTCATGGAGCAAACATTTCTATAAGTACATTTTTATTACGAAACAAATATTTGCCTAAAGATACATCAAATATTTTTTATTTTAATCTGATATTGTGTTAGGCATCATAGATAAAAGAGGAGTATATAAAATGATATAAGTTTATTCTGTTTTAATAATAAAATATGAAGTTTCAAATTAAAATTCGATTTCTTCAAATTTATTAAAACATTTTTATTTAAAATAAAACACAATTATTATATATAAAAAATATTTTATTTATCATCTGCAACAATAAACAAAGATTAACATGATGTCATCAATGAACAAATGCATTCTAACAAATTTTAGTATTTTGTATTTATTAAAATATTATATTAATTTTTCTAGTAAGTAAAAGAAAAATAAATAATTAACTATGATAAAATAATTAGGTACATGATAAGGCATGTCATTCACATATTTTTGTTTATAAATTAATTAATAATAAATAAATTTATGATCTAAGTAGACAAAATTATAAAAAACAGTATGAATATTTTAAATAAATAAAGATCTTTGTACAATACATCATTTTTACTACAAATTTTATATAACTCGGTCATTAAAAACCTCTTTTTGGATTGAAATCATGTGTATTGTCCGAAGAATTGCTTTTTACAGAAGATATGTTACTTCCACTGAATAATGTCTCATTTAACGAATTTGCTTTAGAGCTATTGGATAGTTTTTTTTCGTTAAAAACAGGTGTAGATGTCCTTTGATTAGTTTGAGAAGATGGATTTCGTGTTAAATTATCTGTATTATTACTTAAATCTCTACTGGTACTTAAAAGCCTTCTGAAAAGTGATTCTTTATCAAGAGATAGATTTTGAGCTTTTTTAACCAAAGCTTTGATGTCTTCTTTTTGTGATTTTCCATCATAATTATAATAACATTCTGTATTCTGTGCAACTTTTTTAATTTTTCCATCACTTTCAGTTACACTTGATTCAACAGTGATGTTAGAAGCTAATGGCTTATGTGATTTTTCTAATTCTTTTAAAGTTTGTTCGTTAAGATTTTTCAATGCTATTATTTTATTTGTCAAATAATTTGTTTTTGAAGATGGATATTCAATGGAACTACTTGAACTATGAGCTATCGACTTTTGTGTTTTCTTTAAAGTGTTAAGAGCCCAGTTCATACCAAGCTTATGTAACGCTTTTTCAAACTCTTGGGATGTTGATGAACTTGTAGAATTTTCCATTGAACTATTACTTAATAAACTTACACTGCCATTAGAATTTTCTGGTGTTCTAATTATTTGTGATTGTGAAGCTTCTTGCAGATCTGTTGTCGTTACATCCGAGTTTTGTGTATCATTATCAAATGGTCTTTGTAAAATGTTTCTCCTAAGTAATTCTGACATAACATCCGGCAATGTTTCTTCATTTCTTTCACTAGATATTTCAGCATCGTTTACCAATACATCCTTTTTAGAGTTTAATTTTTTATAATATTCTTCAAAGGTTGGAAATGGCTTAACTTCTAAGTTAATATCTGCGGATGTGTTTTGAAATTTACTTGGACTTTTTAAAGTGATATTAATATCTGTGTTGTCAAATAAATTTTTTATTTGGCTTCCAAAGGTTACAGAATCACCACTATCTTGTGTTTGAGATTTTCCTTGAAAAGTCATTTTTAAAGAATTAGAATTTTGTTCAATGTCAACATCTTGGACTGAGTCTTGTACAGCCTCTATTTCAACAGCGGTTTCGGAAACTTTAGTATCAACTTCCATTATAGCAGATAATTCATGAGCTTGTGCTGTATCTATATTTACATTGTTCTTCATCTGCCTTAACAATGATACTGGAGGTTTTGGCTTATGTTTGACAACATCTCCAATATATTCATGAATTTTTTCCATATAATTCTCTAAATTGACTAACTGGCTATTAATACCAACCATATTTTGACGTAAATCAGTCAAGTCATGTTCAATATTCTTATTATTATTTCCAAATGGTTGATGAGCAATAACATTTTGCATTGCAGATGGTTTTGGAATATCTTGTAACATGGGAGTAAAATCAATTGTTTCCACTGTCACTAATTCATCAGTTATTTCCATCTGCGGTGGTGTTTCTTGAGAGATATGTTTCAAACCCTCTGCAGTTCTGTTTATGTCATCACGATTATCTCGATCTACAATTTCAGCAGGTTGAATTTGGCTGGGTAACTCTAAATATTCAGTTGAATTTTGTCCACAACTGCCACTAGAAGATATACTGCACTCCAGCAACTTCATTTTTTCTAGTCTAACTTTATTAATAAGATTTGTTAAATCAGTTATTCGTTTATTACAATTTTCAGTAAAATCTTGCATGCCTTCATTTTTATCTAAGCTTTCAGGACTTTGTTCGTTTGATTTATAAAAGCTTGGTGAAGGAGATTCTTCACAAGAACTGTTATGTATTGTGGATACTTGAATTCCTTTATTGTGCAAAGTTATTAGATGTTTCGGCGTTTCTTCCACTGCCTGCACACTTTTGCGCAACTCAACATGTTTTCGTTTTGTGTTAAAATTACTTGGAGTACTCTCAATATTAATCACTGGAGTTGTATCAATATCAGATTTTTCAAATGAGTTTATTTTAAACTTATCATCAACTGTATTGGATGGAATATTAATTATGGAATCACTTGGCGTTGGCACATCTGAACAAGAGCTGACAGTCAGCGCATCTATGCTATTCCTATCCATCAATAGTAACCTGTTTATGTAACTTGCCAATAATGGATTTATCTTAGGTTTTTTTTTTTTCTAGCTGTTCTATCAAATCTAGATGAAGTAATTGATTTTGTTGGTGATTTAGCAGAAATGAAATTTTCTTTGTTAGTTTGTCTCTGAAATTGTTCGCTAGTATAGTCATTCACAAAAGCTTGAGAAATATTTTGAAAATTTGAAACATTAGTTAATTCAGCAGGAGGGCTCAAATAACTAGTAGAACTACTAGAGCAGGAATAGGAGGAATTCTTCATAGGTGAATATATCTTACTTTTATTTACTCTTGTTTTGGATTTTTTGTGTTTCTGAATAACACTTGGCCCTCTTGTTTGAACTGAAAATTTTTTTGTAACCGGCGCGATTTTCTTATTGGATTTATCTTTCACGTGGATTACAATTTCCAATCCATCTGAAGACTGTTTGTCGATCACCTCGCCTTGAATTTCATGTTTTGTATCTGCAATTGGGATCACAGAAGAACTTTCTATTGGAATATTTTCTGGTAGTGGAACTTTGTGTTCATGTTTGCCAGATTCTGTTTTTTGTTCTAACTCATTTAGTTTATACTTTTGCATCAACAGATCTAATTGTAATTCTTTAAGTTTTAATTCTTCCTCTTTTTTTGCAAGCTTTTTCTTTTGTTTTTTGATTTTCTGAGCATCATCAATTTTACTTGAAATTTCGGTTTTTTTATGCGATTCTTCCAAGGGATCTGATAAACTTTTTTCCATTGCGATTAGAACATCATTAAGTTTACTGTCCTGTGGTAAATTTTCTTTTGGGACCTCTTCTAAAAGCATTTGTTTCTGACGTTTTACTCGCTCTAATAATTCCTTTAAGTCTTGGTTTTCTATATTTTTGTGATCTAGATTTCCTAATATGATACTACTACTTGTAGTAGAGCTTTTATCATCTCCACAACAAATATCAATAATCTTTTTGTTGCAAATACTATCTCTATCTAAATTTGCAACATTGAGACTAGATTGTTTTTTCTCTATATCAGCTTTCGAATAAGAGGAAGACTTAGTAAAATTATTTCCAGGGTTTTTTCTTCCGACGGATTTATTTGATCGAATTCTATCTAAAGTAATCACATTTTTTGAAGCTTTTGCTCTTTTGTCTAACATATTACTAAAAGCCTCATCAATCCTTTCTTGCCTTTGATTATTCATGTCTTTATATGATAAAGGATTATATAAACTTGGATTCTAAAAATATAAGAATTGTTTAAAAACTACAAAATTAACTATTTTGTAAAGATTTAAGTACAAGAAAATGATTATATAACTATATATAAAAGATTGTTTTATAAATATTCATTAAAAAAGAGAAACTACCATAAATGATAGATTTATGATCATTCAATGAAAGCCAAAAAAAAAGCCGATTCGATTTCTTAAAACAACTAAACAACTTAAAACACTAAAAAATGAATTTCCTGAATATTATTACCTGGCAAGTATCAGTTTCCCTTTCAAGTAATGCCAATGATTCAAAACATTTGTTAATATTTTCTAAATTTTTCGTATTTCTTGCTTGATTGAGAGCTTCACGACTTCTTATTTTTGATTTGGCCATAGCATCTCTTCTTTTCTGAGCCTTTTGTGAGATTTCCTATAATGGTTATAATTAGAAATAAATATCAGAGAATTAAAAGCAATGGCACAAAACATACAACATACTATTGGATATTTATCTATCATCTTAGAAACTTTTGTTCGACATAAGTAAATATTTTTTTGTTTTAAACTATACATAAATGAATATACATCACATAAGGAATATGGAAATATTAATAAAAAATTGATAATAATAAATGTTATTAAAACATTTCATTTTTTATAAATTTGAAAGTTTGATAACTACTACTCTTTGTTTATCCTTGTCGTAAAAATGTAATTTTCAATATAATTATAATTAACTAATGCAAGAGCAAATAATCCTATGATAACAATAATTTGATTAAGAGGTTTATATTAATTAATCAACAAACCTACTTTGATATCTCATAGTATTTTATCATTTGTTTCAACTCAGTAATATATTAGAGATTTGTTTTACAAATTTGTTTGAGATATTTTTAAAACTTCCAATTATACATATAAATAAATGTCTTACAATTTCAGTGCCAATCAGTATGAAGGGGCTTTTAAGCCGCATAATTTGGGCAATTACCAAACTCCTAAGTGGTTTCCAAAGCATCCGACAACATTATGTAAAGCTACAAGGATTATTGGAAATGATCGAGGACATCAACTGCCTTGTAAGTATATAATAACTGACAAAATTTATCATTTATTTAGATAATATTTAACTAAAAATACTATTATGTAGAAATTTACATTTGCTTGCTGATATTGTCCTGTGTTAATCTCTGCATTAACATTAGAATGAATGAGCACATTGTTTCTCATGGAAAACAACACAGAAATAGAATTTAATTTTCAATTTATTGAACAAAATTCAATTTAATAGTTGCAAAACGACCAGCGTGCAATCCATGGGGCTATCATTTAAACACATGGCAACTCCCTATGCGAATTACTCGGGAAATAGCAAAAGAGCTGAGTGCTCCGCATCCATCACGTATGGAATTTTGGCAAAGACATGTTAAAGCCGCTGAAGCCAGATGTCAACAAGACAGTAAGAAAAAGAAGTGCCAGGCAGCAACAACTTTCTCATCCCCTAAGGCCCACCCTGATCCTAAAGATATGACTTATGTGTACTGCCCTTGCACGAATAGATCAATTTGTGAGGTAATTCTTTGTAATATGTAGTATACGATTTGAAATTATTTTGCAAGTAATAGTGAAATATTTTTGGAACATGAATATATTTTGAGCAAAAAAATTTTATACTACTTTTTAGAATATGGCAAAGAAACAATCTGATCTAGAACATCCGACAAAATCAGTTAATTTGCCTCAACAAAAAACTGTTGATCCCCAAGTGAAAATTTGTCCAGTGCATGGCAGAAAGATGAAGTAAACTGGCCCAGAAGTACAATAGATTAGTAAAGCAAGATTTCGTACCATAGATTACACAAAAAATCCTTAAAATAATTAAGAAATTATCAGTTGCCCAATTCACTTGCTATTACAATTTTCTTGAAAATTGCATATGTAATATTTTCATCCTTTGTTAAAATATGTTATTATAACTTATATGCACAATAAATTGCTTTATAACAGTTGTATTAAATGGTATATTATTTACCATTTTATGACTATTATTGCAACAAATAAAGCAAATATTGAACAATCACTGAATTGATTGATGATCAGTGTCATATTAAATCCAAGAAAACAGATAAGTGACCATATTGTTCTTTCCTTAATTAACAATTATTTTCTTAAAATAAGATGAATTATTTTATTGCTTGACATAATAAACCATGCCTCACCTTATCAAAGTTTTCACTCTCCTTTTGTGCAACATCATGAGCATTTGAAAAGTGTGAATCAACTTTCTCTACCGGATTTGAAGATGGCCTATATGTTGCTTCATATTTTGTGCTGCAATCATATAATTTCACTTTTGGCAAATCTGCTGTGGTTGAACTGATTCTGGAATTGGTGTGTTTAACAGATTTTATTGGAGAAATTGGTATCACAGGCTTTTCTGAAAAAGATTTTTCTAGGCTTTGTACATTTTTCTGCAATTCCAAAACCTGTGGTTCAATGTCTTCCAAGCAATTTTAGCACATATTATGCCATCATGAATTTTTGCTGATATTGCAGTTAAAGGACTTATAGCTCTATATTCTTCAGATTCTGGATTTACGCCCCTTTGCTTTTTAGGTGAACCAATATCTGTATGTTTTCTAACTTGAGGATTTATATCATGTTGATTTCTAATTGGACTTGAATCTCCATGGCTTATATTTATTTTTTTTGCAATAGGACTTTTTTCTCTGCATCCTTTATTTGGACTGCTAATTATATTTTGTCGTCTTGGATTTGGTTGTCTAATTTTATCACAAAAATCATCTGAAAGATCAGAGTCGTTTCTGTGTAAAACATTATCTGAAAAGTTCTGAGGATTATATACAGATGATTTTACTTTTAGCTTGGAATTGGAACATCAATGATTTTTCTAGATTTTATTCTATCACTGACTTGTGTGAAATAATTATTTGCTTCAGAACCGTCTTTATCAAGAGAGATTGCATCTGATGATGTTTCTTTATCATCATCCTCATATGATGTTTTAGGACATAAACATTGAATACCAACATCTCGTTGCATTTTGCAACATTGACAAAACCAACCATTGTGTCTCAATTCAGATAAGTAAGGAGTATGTGAAACTTTTTCTCCATTTTTGTTAGATATGGAATTTGTATAATGTCCATTGTGATCATCATCTGTTTTCAACAATGAGTTTTCAACAGGATCAGAAGCATTTTTATCAAGATTTATTGTGCCCAATTCAACTTCTGGATCATCATAACAAAACACAGTCATCTTTTATTGCAGATTTCTTAACTTTTTTAATAATATGTGTGATTTTTATTTTGGGTACATTTGAGGTAGGAACAGATCTGAAAAGGATAACAAAATAAGTAATAAATAAACTTGATATTAATAAACAAATTAGTAGTCATAATATTGATATCATAAATACCTGAAAGTTTTCTGTTTTGTTTTCTGTTTGCAATGTTTTTGTATTATTTCTTCTTTCAAATTTTTCATAGCTTCCTTTCCTCTTGCTTGAGCAATATTATCTCGTTTTGTTTTATTATCCTTCAAAACTGCAAACATAAATATTCTAAGCAAAGTCTTTTACTTGTGAATACAGAAATGAAGATATAATAAGAGTGGAACAATTGTCTCTTGTGGTATAAATTGACAATTACCTTCTCGTGGATCAACTTCAGCTTCAGCTGCTTTATGAGCATTACCAAGATCACAATAATTTTTAGAGCACTGGTTTTTCATATCTCTTAATTGTTGTTCCTGCCATTCTCTCAACTCCTTGCATTTTATTTTGGCAAATTCTTCTGCTTTTCGTTTCTTTTCAGAATTGACTTTGTCACGCAATTCTGAAGCAATAACTTTTGACTGTTCCCGTACCTTCAAGTAATAGTTGTTACTAGCATTACAAAATAAACTAATAGAAATGCATTCTCTAATTAGAAATTTACCTGTAATATCCTTTGTTGCGTCTTTTTTGCAGTTCAGCCTTTTTCAATTCGTCCATATTATACAAAAGTTTGAATTATCGCTACAAATTATTATTATGAGTCTATATTATTATTATATTTATTCCATATATGAAGTACTATCTACGCACCTTAGTTTCCATATCGCGTTATATTATTGCATTTTTGCATAAACAAGCACATTAAAAAAATCTTTCATTCTTCGTCAACATTTGTGTGAATTTTGTGTAAAACTCTATTGTAACTTTTAACAGATTTATTTGTTTACATACCGTTCATTTGTCATACCGATAGTGTTGCCATAAATGCGCTATGAACTTCGTCGTATGAAATTCACTGCTCTGAACTGTGTTGACACAAGTGAGCTGTTGGGCTTAAGTACCAACATTTTACAACGAATAAATTTTTAAATAATTTAAAATTTTAAAATAACAATGAACAATGATTTTGATAAATAAAACTATAATAATTTTATATTTTGTTATTATATTTTACCTATATCACAATTTAGTATCAATATCTTCTACAAATGCTTCATTTGAAAAGCCATTACAAGGTTATTGCATATAGTCATATGACCATTTGGCCTATACTCTACTTCCAGTACAATCTCGCCATTGGTTTCCTTCATTGCAGAACCATTTGGAGCAATTTCATAACCAGAATTGACAAATGCTTGTTTTGCTATATCAAGCAGTTTATCCGCTTGTCCAGTTTCAGAAACAAGGGATGCCAACATACTTCCTGGCAACATTAATAAATCATATGGTGTGCCAAATTCTCTGGGCCTTCCTGCATCCATAACCAGGATACGATCAGAGTCCATTACAGTATGCAGGCGATGAGCAATTGTCAGTACGGTGCATTTTGAAAATTGTGTGCGTATAGATTTTGTATTAAAGCATCAGTCCTGCAGGAATAAAGAATTTTAAATTATTTATTTATCGAGTTAGATATTAAATATACTACAGGGTAAAACCTCTATTTGAAGGTTCAGTGGAAAATATATAATTGTTAGTGGAAATAATTTTTGCTAGTATAAGTTGACAATACGAGTTTAATAATGCTTGTTAATGTATTATTTCAAATATTATTTTATATAGATGTATATCTATGAAGATATAAAAAAATCCAATTTTTTAATGATCCAATTGTATTTGACTGAATCATTATCAAAAGCATAAATAGACTAGAATAGACAGAATTATAACATTATAATTATAATGAGA